CTTTAGAAAATCCACGTTTATAACTCTGTTAGTCCTTGAAAAAAATATTTTTTAGAAAATCGACGTTTATAACTATGTTAGTCCTTGAAAAAAATATTCTTTAGAAAATCCACGTTTATAACTCTGTTAGTCCTAGAAAAAATAATCTTTAAAAGTCCGCGTTTATAGCTCTGTTAGTCCTAAAAAAATTCTTTAAAAAATCCCCGTTTATAAGTCCGTTAGTCCTTGAAAAAATATTTTTTAGAAAATCCACGTTTATAAGTCTGTTAGTCCTTGAAAGAATATTCTTTAGAAAATCCACGTTTGTAACTTTATTAGTCCTACATAAAAAAATATTCTTTAGAAAATCCACGTTTATAACTCTGTTAGTCCTAGAAAAAATAATCTTTAAAAGTCCGCGTTTATAGCTCTGTTAGTCCTAAAAAAATTCTTTAAAAAAATCCCGTTTATAAGTCTGTTAGTCCTTGAAAAAAATTCTTTAGAAAATCCACGTTTATAAATCTGTTGGTCCTTCAAAAAATATTCCTTTAAAAATCAACGGAAAAAAATATTATTTAGATAATCCACGTCTATAACTTTGATAGTCCTTGAAAAAAATATTCTTTAGAAAATTCACGTTCATAACTATGTTAGTCCTTATCAAATTTTCCTAAATACTGGATATTTTTTCCATTTCCGATTTTACTTGTTGGCCACATTGAAACAAGTTTTCTGTCATTTGTTGATAACAATTTTCAATTGTACTATCCTTGTAATTGTCGGTTGCAACAACGACAACAAACAAGGACATCCTTCCACTGGTCTACGACCTTGTCATTTATGAATAATTTATAACTCTGTTAAATGACTCGACTGCAGCAGGATGCATGCATACACATACCGAGAGCTTTATTGCAAGTTGCCGAGTCAGCAGACAAAATTCCTTGTGATCCTTAACATGCTTTACGTGTTGGCTGGCAGGCTGGATGCCTGGTGGTGGGAGGATGTTTTTAAAAATTCTCCAACATTTTGTCAATTAAAAGGAAACTTTGTAGGGAATGAATTAAAACAAAAGCAATTGCCAAGTTTGTCTTATTTAACTCTTCAAGTGGTTGATGCAAAAGTTCCAACTTCATTTCTTTAAGCCAAGGCGAGTTGCTTTGACAAATTTGCTGTTTATTATAGCTCCTTTGCAAATGCAAAGGACCTTTTAAAAGCAAAGTTCTTTTTTTTTCTTAAAAAAGTCTTCAGATCCAACCCTCACTGCAGTTGTGTCAACCAAAAATCTGCAGACAAACAAAAGCACTTTCATTCTCTTCCTATTCTTCTGCTTCGGGAAATCGCCACTTTATATTCAAATTCCGACACATTTGTGCAAAGTAAACACATTTTATGGCCAAACTGAAGTACACTTCACATGTTTATTGGTATCCTTGATGGCACCACACACACACACAAACACCCACGCCATTGTCACCAAGGGTGGCAGTTTGATCTCCCAGTTGCAAGTTGCGATACAACATGTCTGGGTGTCGTTTTCATTGTAAAGCGAATTTTGCTTGAAATTGAAAGTCGGTTATAATATTACAAATATTGAATCGAAAATGAACAATCCTTGAAACATGGAATCCTCACAAAATAAAAAAAAATATGTTTTAATGCAAAGGAATAAACAGAATCCAGAAAAGAGCATTTTTGCAAAATGTGGAAGATTATTGAAACCAAAAATGTTCCACATTTATAAATCCTAGTGTCATTGCAAAAAACGTAGGCGAAGTTTATGTTACTTGTCCCGCAATTCTATGGTTACAATAATTCAAATTAAGAGGAGACAGTGAAGTGTCACGAAAATGGTGGCAATGGCCCGACAAATAGTGCTGTCGTTCTATCCTATGAGCTAAGGAATATTGTTCCTAATACTTCCACTCAATTCTACTAGGGTAGCGCGCCGTTTCCTCTTCCAAAAGACACTTAACTCAGCAATCATAAATAAATGACTGTCCGGATGTGTTAATTTTCATCAGTTCAATAAATTTTCACATACCTTAAATCTAACAATATTTCCTTATTTTTACTTATAAATCTAATTACTACTAACCTGTTATCGATGGATACAGCTCTGTCTAGGAAACTTAGCGCTTGGCATAAGAAATTTATCCATTCGGCTGAAGTCGATAGAATCATACACTATCCTACTAAAATATAATCTATTAAAAATTCAGTTAAATATTAAAAATACCGAATATCGGAATGTACCGATATATGGGGGGTTATACGACATTGTGGACCTATATAGACAAATCTATATCTGGTAATTTCAGACAATTCCGTCGAAAAATGTGAAAAATCGTCAAAATACCCAATATCGGGGGTTACCGTTATATTGGGGATATACGATATCGTGGATCTATATAGACAATTTTTTTCAGGGGTAAAGTACTCACAATTAACTCCTTGTGTGGAATTTCAGACACCGTTATGTGGGGGATATACGATATTGTAGACCGATTTAGCCCATCTTCGAACTTGACCTGCCTGCAGACAAAAAGAAGATCTGTGCAAAATTTTAGCTTCATTTGTTTTGTCTCTAGAGGGTTTACAGCAGACGGACAGATGAATGGGAGGACAGGACTAAATCGTCTTAGAATTTTACGCTGATCAAGAATATATATGCTTTGTTGAGTCTAAAATTATCATTTCGATGAGTTACAAAAGGAATGGCCAACTTAATATACCCTCCATATTAGCTATATGGGGGCTATACCAAAACGTGGACCGACATGTCCCATTTTCAATACCAAAAGTCCTGCAGACATAATATGCATTTGAGTAAAATTTTATCAACCTACTTCAAATCGTTCTGAAGCTAGAGTGATTTCCACAGGCAAATAGACATCACTAAATCGACATTGAATTTTATGCTTTTTATATATACTTTTTGTGTCTAAAATGTATATTTTGAGGTGTTACAAACGGATAACAAACTTTATATACCCTCCATACAATGGTAGAAGGTATAACAAAGGAAAATAGAATAAGAAAAAGAATATGCAAAACATGCCCTCGATCGTTCTGAAAACTGAGGGCCGAAATTGCATTTAACAAGTTAAAAAGCAGTAAGTCCGAACTTTGAATACCCTCCACCATTTGGAACGAATTTGAAAATGAAATCCTTAAAAAAATTATGTTAAAATTTTGAAAATACCGAATATAGCCGTTATGTTGGTGTCTATACGAAGTGGACCCACACAGGCATTATTTGTCATAAGTCATTACCAAATTCAAATTCGGAACTTGAAATAAACCGTGAATAATGTAGCTAAAATCATTAAAATATCGTATATAGGGTGGTATCGTTATATCGGAGCTGTGCGAAGACCTGAACCAGCATAGACAATTTTCTGTCACAGGCTGTAGTACCTATTAAGAACTTCAAATACGACATTTCAAACAATTACGGTGAGTATTGTACCTAAACTCATCAAAATACCGAATATCGGGTGGTACTGGTATATGGGGCCTATACGAAGACGTGGACCTGCGTAGACAATTTTCTGTCACAAACTGTAGTTTCCATTACAAAATCTAAATGCGAAATCTATTCTGGTGAATAATGACGCTAAAATCACCAAAATGCCGAATTTAGGAAGGTAGCTGTAGGGGAGGGGAGGTGGGGTCTATACGAAGACGTGGACCTGCACAGACAATTTTCTGTCTTAGGCTCTAGTATCCATTTCGAACTTTAAATACCAAATTTGAAACAATTCCGGTGAATAATGTCTCTAAAATCATGAAAATACCGAATATCGGGAAGTACCGTTATATGGGGGCTATATGAAAACGTGGACCTACATTGCCCATTTACGAATTTAAGCTGCCTTCTGAAAAAATAAACATGTGTGCAAAATTTTAGCCTTCTATCTCAATTCGTTCGAAAGATATCGTAATTACAACAGACAGACAGACGGCCTTACAATTTTACGCTGATCAAGAATATATATTCTTTGTTGGGTCTGACATGAGTATTTCGTGGAGTTACAAACGAAATGATATAGTTAATATACCCTCCATAGTATGGTGGAGGGTATAAAAACCTCCGCGATTGTCATTAAACGTCGCTGTAGATGAAGGAGCTTCTAATTGTACATACAAAGTGGCAACACTTCGTTGTCATACCTCTATATATCTCGTATCGTGAGACTCACTCAATGTACGATTTGTGCTCCTACTTATGGTGGTGCACAAGTTTGATCAAACCGCGAACCTGATTTAGGGAGTAATTTAAGGACTTCTTTAGAAAACTTTTAAGATAAAAAGAAAATAACAACCTGCACCATGGACAAATATTTTGTCCATGTCTGAAAGCAAATAGGACCAAGGATATAATTCCATGAAAAGAATAATTGTTTCTTCAGTAGATTGTTTATAAGAGTCAGTGTTAATAGCGCATCCACAGACAATGGTTGAAAGGATAATACTGAAAATTGTTATTAATTTTCCATCAACGTGGGTTAAATAAGATGCTAAGCCAGGTTGGCTAAAAATGTCTATTATCACGCATTATTGGATACTGACGTTGGCATATCAACAACAATGTGAATTTCTTTCTTCAAAAATTAGTCGATCTGAGTTCTTAGGAGGAACCAAGAACAGACTTTTTCAATTTGTATTTTCTCATCGAATTTCGTATTTCAACTAATACTTTTTCAAAAAATTCACTTGGTACACTGAATGCAGACAAGCAAAACTTATATCCGCGTAGTCGCACTGGGCTTCTAGATCAAGACTCGTTCTGCCAAGGACAGCTAACTTCATTTGCAGCAAACTGTATTTACCTTTCCAGCATTCGAATCTCGTGAAATCCCCTAATCTCTCGGAATGCGAATATAGCATAAAGTTTACTAAAAACTAAAAAAATGTCTTTCTTAGGCATAGGTAGTCTTTGAAGACATTCCCAATTAAACCTTAAAACCTTAAATTATTCTTAAATATTATAAATCCACATTTTATTTCTCTTTCAGATCCATACCAGTTACAAAGATGCATTTCCAGAGTCAATTGTTGTATAAACTTACCTTTGGCACATTTTTGATGCTATGGGCCCACAGTACATCGGCCGCCGACATGCTAAGGGATGGTGGAGGTAAGCCATAAGAATTTTTTCTTTTGAATAAATTTCATAACATTTTCCATTTCCCCTCCAGATTCCCTTAATTCGTTGTATGACAACTTGTTGCAACGTGAATACATTGGACCCATTGCCTTTCCCAATCACCAGGTCGAACGCAAGGCTCAACGATCACCTTCGCTAAGGTTGAGGTTTGGCAGACGTAGCGATCCGGAAATGATGACTCAACTCCCTGAAAAACGTTGGTTTGGTGATGTCAATCAGAAACCCATACGTTCACCCTCGTTACGCTTGCGTTTTGGGCGACGCAGTGATCCCACCATGCCATTGCACAGCCCTTTTGATTTGTTGATGAATGCCCGACAAAATGCCGATGCCAGTAATTCGGCCAGCAACACTGATGATTATAATGATATCTTTGATAATTACTATGAACGTGTTGTACGAAAACCCCAGCGATTGAGGTTTGGCCGTAGTCTCCCTTACCAAAGCGATTTGTCGGCCTCGGCTGCTGCTTCGGATAATTATGAATCACAAAATGTTGACGACTCAACTGTATCGAATAACGGCGATGATGATTTCTACAATACTTTGTTGCACTCGCAAAAGTTGAGGAATTTATTGTTGACTTTAAGGCAATTCCAGGAGGCTAATTCACCCAACAACAATGACGAATCGTCATCGATGGAAAACGATATGGACGAATTTGAACGTGCCATCCGTAAGCCAGCCCCATTGCGTTTACGTTGGGGTCGCAGTACCGGTGGCCGTAGCTCACAGATGATGAATGAGGACAAAACTAAGGTGGAATTGGATGAAAAGGTGAGTGGTGATAATAATTTGAACACACACACAAAGCGGATTTGCCAGATTTATCTCTAATATAATAGGATTTGATAGGTGAATTTTTGTTTCGGAAACAAAAATGGTGACAGTTTTACTTACACGACCTGTTTAATGGGCTTTTTCAAATATTTTCAACTCTGTTTTTAAAAACCTTATGTCCGATTCCAATGAAATTCGGAATGAGTGAAGGAATTTGGTACAAAAACGAATTTGCAAAATTATATTAAAATCGATTCAGATTTGGATATAGCTCCCATATATATTATCGGCTGATTTCACCTATTTGATGCACCAAACATTGTATGTATGTTCGAGTCCAATGAAATTCGGACTTAGAGACGAAATTTGGTACAAAATTAAATTTACCAAATTATACTGAAATCCGTTGATGTTTGGGTATATCTCCCATACATATTTTGGGCCGATTTCACGCACCAAACACGTTATGTATTTCCAATTTTAATTAAATTTGGAATGTGTAACGAAATTCGGAATAAAAATAATTTTTAAAATTATATTGAAATCAGTACAGATTTGGATATAGCTCCCATATATATTTTTCGGCCATTCTCACATATTTGATGCAACAGATCTTATGTTTGTTCGATTCGAATAAAATTTCCAATTAGTGACGGAATTTGGTAAAAAAAACATACATTTGAGAAATGTTAGCTTCCATATATATTTTTGGCCGATTTTGTATATTTGATGCACCAAACACGATATGTATCTCCAATTTTAATGAAATTTAGAATGTATTAATGAAATTTGGTACCAAAATAAACTTTAAAATTATATTGAAATCAGAACAGATTTGGATATAGCTCGCATATATATTTTCCACCGATTTCTATGAAATTTGGAATTTGTGGCGGAATTTGAACTAAAAATAAATTTTGTCAAATTATATTGAAATCGGTCTTGATTTTATCATGGTCAGCAGAACTTGGTGTGTTCACGCGTTGACAGACTGACCGATTTCTTTGTTTACGCTCCTAAATTATTTCAATATTATTTTTGAATCATTACAGATTTGGATATAGCTCCCATATACATTTTCCACCGAGTTCAATGAAATTTGGAATGTGTGGTGGAATTTGGACTAAAATTAATATTAAAATTATATTGAAATCGGTCTTGATTTTCTCATGGTCAGCTGAACCTCGTATGTTCACGCGTTGGCAGACCGACCGATTTCTTTGCTCCTGAAGGAAAAACAAACAAAAAAGCAGCTAAGTTCGGCCGAGCCAAACTTTTAATACCCTTCATTCCTTTTAAGGAACTTGAAATTTTTCAAAAAAAAAAATCCGTAGAAAAAATGAGCCCTTTATATGGGGGCTATACGAAGACGTGGCCCTTCATTCCGAACTTCAAATACGAATTTTGAAACAATGCACGTAAATAAGACGTGGACCTGCATAGGCAATTTTCCATCATAGGTTGTAGCACTCATTACGAGCTGCAAATACGAAATTTAAAACAATTCCTGTTAAATATGTACCTAAAATCATCTATATACCGAATATAGGGAGGTACCGTTATAGGGAGGGCTATAGGAAAACGTGAACCTGCATACAAATGTTTGTCATAGGCTGTAGTACCCACTGCGAACTTCAAATACGAATTTTTAAATAATTCTGGTCGCTAAAATCATGCAAATACAGAATATCAGAAGGTACTGTTTTGTGGAGGCTATACGAAGACGTCAACATGCATACGAATTTTTTGGCCATAGGTTGTAGTACGCATTAAGATCTTCCAAAACGAAGTTTGAAACTATTCCGGTGAATATTGTTCCTGAAATCTTCAAAATAATACAAAAAATGTTGCCATAGGCTGTAGTACCCATTGCGAACTTCAAATACGAAGTTTGAAATAATTCCGGTAAATAATGTCGCTAAAATCATGAAAATACCAAATATCAGGAGGTACTGATATATGGGGGCTATACGAAAACTTAGGCCGACATGGCCCATTTACGAACTTAACCTGCCTATATATACATATACTTTGTAGGGTCTATTCTGAATATTTCGAGGAGTTACAAACAGAATGACAAAGCTAATATATCCTCCATAGAATGGTGTAGAGTATAAAAATATATATAGCGGAGCCGAGCTCCACCAAATGGAGACGTACGTCCCGAAATTCACTTCATTAGCCATTATTTGCACAATAAACCTGAAATCGGATTAAAAATATATATGAGAGTTATATACAAATCTGAGCTGATCTCAATAAAATTCGGCAAAGGTATTTCTGAGCTGTATCTGATATCTGATACCAAATATTATTCTTGTGGAGTGCATATTACAATTGTGAGCGACTTAAAGACCAAATCGAATGAAACATATATGTATATGGGGGCTATAGCTATACCTGAACCAATGAAAAGGTATTTCTGAGCAGAAGTATATTTGATGTACATGCTTCTGGGCTGAATTCGGTCGGATGTGCCAAAATTCAGGTCAATTGGAGTGATATTGGCCATTTGGTGCACAATTAACCCCAAATCGGTTAAAGATATATATGGGAGCTATATCCAAATTTTAACCGATCATGACAAAATTCCAGAGGTATTTCTGAGATGTATATGATATCTGATACCAAAAATTATTTTCGTGAAGTGCCTATTACGCATGTGAGGTACATAAAAACCAAATCGGATAATTGATTGATGTACTTGCTTCTGAACTGAATTCGTTTGGATGCGCCAAAATTCAGGTTGTTTGAATTGATATTGGCCATTTGATGCACAATTAACACGAAATCGGTTGAAAATATAAATGGGGGCTATATCCAAATCTCATCCTATCTCGATAAAATTTGACAGAGATATTTTTGGGCTGTATCTGATATCTGGTACCAAATATCATTCTTGTGAAGTGCATATTACGAATTTGAGGGACTTAAACACCAAATCGGATGAAACATATGTATGGGAGCTATAGATATATTAGAACCGATTTTCACCAATTTTGCTATACTTGCTTCTTGATCTCGATAAAATTTGGCAGAGATATTTTTGGGCTGCATCTGATATCTGGTACCAAATAAAATTCTTGTGGAGGGACTTAAACTCCAAATCAGATGAAACATATATAGAGAAGCTATAGCTATATCTGAACCGATTTTCACAAAATTTGATGTACTTGCTTCTAGACTGAAGTCAGTCGGATGTGCAAAAATTCAGACCATTTGGACTGATATTGGCCATTTGGTGCACAAGTAACCCGAACTCGGTTGAAGATATATATGGGAGCTATATATAAATTTGAACCGATTCTCACCGACATCAAAAGGGGTCCGTCCTTGGGCCAAAAAAATATTATTTGGAAAATTTCACCTCAATCGGATAATAAGTGCGACCTGCATTTTGTTCACAAAAATACATGGACAAACGGACGGAAGGACAGACCGACTGGACATGCCTAAATCGACTCAGAAAGTGATTCTATGAAGATCCTCGGTCTATCTGGCTTCCTTTTTCATGTTATAAACAAATGCACAAAGACATAATACCCTTGCCACTATATGCTGTAGGGTATCAAAAGGCCTAAAAAGAACGAATCTAAAATTTTAAGGTGGACTTTTCGCTGACAAAGTAACGAGCACTGTTAATCTTTTAATAAATCGCTTAGAAAAATTATTTATTATTTATTCAAAATTAATTAATTATTATTAAAAATATTATTTTATATAATGTTTTGTATTTCCTTGCAGAAAAAGCTATCACCCATTTCCAACAACGTTGAGAAGACCGATAACCAACAGCAACAACAACAAAACAAAGACTAAATTCATGCAGCTATACAAGAACACCTCACAACTGAAACACTGAATTTCAAGGATAATGAATGGATTTGAAAGTAAAACTGAATGACTTCAATTATTAAATGGAAATTTATTATTAAATGTATAATAATAATAAAAACAAAAACTAAAGAAAACACAAGCTCTCTTTTTTGAAAAAATATTCATATTCAAAAAAATAGAAAAATTGAAAAAAAACATAACATCTAAAATATTAACAAAAAAAATATTGCGAAAAAAACAAAATAAATACAAAATATCTACTATATACAACTCAAATTGAATACTAAACGATGAACAACAACAAATGTCCATAAACTTTAACACATAAACAACAACAAAAAACACAAATGGAAAAATAACGAAGGCAGCAAAGATGAAAACATACATTTTTTGGAAAGTTCTGATTTTTTGATATTCAGACACGAATTCGTTTTTTGTTCTTTTGAATATTTTTCTTTTTTTTTAATTATTTCTCAAAACTATTGTAAATAGCAAAATCCCACAAAAACACAACAAAGAAAATCTCTCTTATTTTAGCATTTAAGTCAAGAAACAAGTATTATTTTTGAAAACTTTTAGAGTTAATGGAATTAAAAAAAATACAGAAACATGTTGGCCCCCCTTATTAGGAAAAGTAAAGTCGTTCTACAACCTAACCTAAAAATAATTATGATATATTTAACTGTTTACGCAACTTCTAATCGGAAAAAAAACATATTTTTAATTTACACCATCATTTAAAAGAAGCAAAATAAATAAATAAAATTTAAAAATAAATATATATAAAAAAAACATATATATTTATATACAAATATATTTGTAATGTTCTATATTTCAACGTATTTTTCCTTCTCCATAATAAAAAAAAAACTAAATCTTTGTCTGTTATTGAAATTTTTATTCAGTATTGAAAGAATTTGATTAGCACATGGTGTGGCAAGTTTCCAAAATTACCAAAAAAATTTTTCGATATTTTTATTGAAATTTCATCACTTTTACCAAAAATTTAAATCAACAATTTATGTTTCAGAAATTTCTTCTTCTTCGGAAAAAACGTTTGAAAAAAAATATATGACAGTTCAATCTATATTTTATTAAAAATTTTGAAAATTTCCAGACCATGTGTTACAAAAATGCCCTCAAATAAAATTAATTATCCAACTCCCCCAAATCCCCTGCAAAATCTCTCTTTTAATTTGCAAATTAAATCCCTCATAATAAAAATAAAAATATAACAAAAAAAAATATAAATATATATTTATTATAAACAAATTATTATAAAATAAAGAAAATATTAATTATATTGATATAATGAATGTAAATAGCAACAAACATTTTACCGCTACCCCTCCCCACCATCCAAAATTTAAGGCAAAAAAAAAAGGAAATTAAAAAAATAAAAGAAAAAATCCTGAAAGTGGTATGTAACTCGTATATGTATAAAACAAACTGAAATTCTACACCCACACAAACACCAACACCCAGACACAGATCAAAATTAACAAGAACAACAAACAAACAAAAATATTTAAAGACAAATTGATTATTATTATTATAGAAATTGATGAATTTAAAAATTTAATTTTGAAAAACTCAAATAAAAAACAACTAACTTAACAGAAAAAATCAAATTGTTATTGTTATTTATGGAGTTAAAGATATAATGGATATTTTCGTAAGTAACTTCAAAATCATGTGGATTAAAATGATAATGTTATGATTATTCTTCAGCATGAATAATGTTATGATTTTTCTTCAGCATGAAACAGATTAATACTCTCACAGTCAGAAAGTAAATGCTACATTTGTTACAATTTTGTAACCTTAACAGAGGTAGGTATACAAATCCCGATTTCCTGAAAATATTTCAACACGAAAGTCCGATTTCAAGGCCCGGGTTAGACTCGGATCTACTAAGCCGATATGGACAATCATTTGAAAGCTAAAGAAAACACCTAACCAACAAATAATCACATAGTGATGGGGTTATTTAAAACGGTTCGGGAGTTGTATCAGAATTATAAATGTTTTCGTACCGGCTTCTTTAAAAAATCCCCCAAAATATGAAAAGGCCTATTTTGATAGTCAAAGAAATATATTCCAAATTATAGTTAAAAGATGGCCTTTCCAAAATGCTACAATATACCTTATTGTCTTTCTTGGTTCCAGAAATATAGACGACCGGATCTACCCGATTCTCTTCACTACATCGAAGCGGCTATGGGAACTAGTTTATCTAAATTTGATTCTTCTTTTAAGTAGCTGGCCTTCGGCAGGGGCTTAAGATTTTCTCCTCTTGGTATATCCAACACCAACTTCAGACTGCTGTCATTACTAAGCCACTCGTCAGACAGCTGTTAAAATTATTCCAGTGACGGCTCATTATATTATTTACAAGCGTACAAAAGCATTTTGGTGAGAATATTCCGGAAAAAAGTTATTCGTGATGGAATTCAAGCGTGATGGTGTGATTTCTTTATATTTGGTTGAAAAATCACAAGTGGCTCATTAGAGCACTCCAGCAGCATTTAAATGTGAATAAATCTTTTGCGTTTCATACCACCGCTCGTTACCGTGACTTGGTAGCGTAGCCCGTCGTCAAGGAAGTGGACGGAAGAAAACCGCAACATCAGCAGAAATGATTCGAAAAGTAAAAAGCGACTAGATCAAAACCCGCAGTCGCAGTGGCCGAAAAATGGTTCATGAGCTGAACATATCGTAATATTCCATTCGGCAAATATTGAAAAATGAGCTCGGGGTAAAGCCTTCGAAATTCCAAAAAGTGCAAGAACTTACACCGCAACTGAAAGACAAGTAAAAAAACCTGTAAGTTCGGCCGGGTCGAACTTTGGATACCCTCCACCATTTGGAACGAATTTGGTAATTCTCAAAAACATTAAAATCCGTTAAAATTTTGTTAAACTCTTAAAAATACCGAATATAGCTGTTATACTAGGGTCTTTACGACGACATGGGCCTGAATAGGTAATAATCATAAGCCATTGTAATATTCAAATGCGAAACTTAAAAAAAAAAATCGGTGAATAATGTCGCTAAAATCATCATAATACCGAATATCGGGAGGTACCATTATATGGGGGCGATTCCAAAACGTGGACCTACATTGCCTATTTTCAATACCAAAAGTCCTGCAGATATAGTAAACATTTGCGTAAAATGTTATCATTCTACTTCAATTCGTTCGGAAGGTAGAGTGATTTCCACAGAAGGACAGACGGACATCGCTAAATCGACAAAGAATTTTATGCTGATCAAGAATATATATACTTTATGGGGTTTAAAATGTATATTTCGAGGTGTTACAAACTATGGTGGAGGTTATAATAAGACAAATTCGAAAATGTAATACTTTTATGAATAAACAAACAAATAGCTCGGTCTACCAACGCGTGAACATGGCAGAAACAGCTGACCATGAGAAAAGTAGGAACATTCCAAATTTAATCCGCATACACGAACATACTTACCCGTTATAATCATATCCTCAATTAAATTGTTGTGCAGTTTTTTACTGTTAACCTAATACCATTACAAAGGCGTTGTGGATCAATGCTTCTTAATAAAATCATATCCCAATCTGAACCGATTTCAATATAATTTTACAAAATTTACTTTTACCGCAAATTCCGTCACACCTTCCATATTTCATTGAAATTGGAGGTACATACCATTTTTGGTGCATCAAATATGTAAAATCGGCCGAAAATATATATAGGAGCTATATCTAAATCTGTAGCGATTTCAATATAATAATTTGGGAAATTAATTTATTAACAAATTTCGTCACTCATTCCAAATTACATTGGAATCGAACATACATATCGTGTTTGGTGTATCATTTAAACGAAATCGGCGGAAAGCATATATGGGATCTATATCTAAATCTGAACCAATTTCAATATAATTTGGCCATGCACGTCTGTCTGTCCGTCTCTCTGTCTGTTTTAATTTCGAACGAATGTTTATATTTCGAACGAATTCAGAGAGAAGACTAAAATTTTGCACACATGTCTATTTTGCCAGTAGGCAGGTTAAGTGGGCCATGTTGGTCCACGTTTTCATATAGCCCCCATATAATGGTACCTCCCGATATTCGGTATTTTGATGATTTTAGCGACATTATTCACCGGAATTGTTTCAAAATTGTCTATGTAGGTCTGGGTCTTCGTATAGCTCCTAAATAACGGTATTTCGCTATGTACGTTATTTGATGATTTTGGCTACATTATTCACCGTTTATTCGTTCTAAATGGTGGAGGGTATTCAAAGTTCGGCCGGGCCGAACTTACTGCTTTTTTACTTGTTGTTTTAAAAAATATAAAACTTTCAAAGTCTAAACCGCCACAACAAACAATAAAAGAAGTTTAAACAATAAGACGAGTAGTTAACAATTGTATAATAGATCTACGACTGAGTCAAATGGAATGAATGAAAGATAACCAAAACGGGAACCATGTCAAATTCCAATGTACATAGTAATGTTTTATTTTGCATGATTTTTTTCCATTTTGACTTACTTTTTCCTAATGTACATTTGTAGTGTTTATACCCTACAACACTATGTGTTGGGGGTATTATAAGTTTGATTGGGCCAAAAATTATGTAACACCACGAAATATTGGTTTCCCACATAGGAAAGTATATATGGATCATCCTAGCTCGCCGAGCTGAGTTGATCTAGCTATGTATGTCCGTCCGTCCGTCTGTCCGTCTGTCCGTCTGTCCGTCTGTCCATGTTAATTTGTAATCACTCTACAGGTCGCAATTATGGCCCGATCTTCACGAAATTTGGAATGGAGGTCGGGGTTGGGCCAGAATAGAACCCTATTTCTTTTTGAGATGATCGCCAAATGTTTAGGGGTTGAAATGGACCAAATACTGAAAAAATTTTGCAGTAGCTATACAGGTCGCAATTATAGACCAATCGACGCGGAATTTCGCATGTAGCTAGAGTTTAGGACGGGGAAGAAGCCTATCAATTTGGGTGGTCATCGGATAATATTTAGCGGGTAAAATAGACCATATATTTTGTGTTGAAAAAATGCAACATTTTTCATTAAACCGCGAATATTTTAAATCCCGGCGAAATCACAAAGCCATGACGAGGTTACTTCTGACCTTTACATTGATGTTAACATCCAACAAATCGGATATATAACAAAATATGTTCGATATATATGTCTATCAAAGAAGATTTGCTTGAAACATCTCTTATATGTCGAGAACGGCTGAACTGATTTCGACAGTTCTCATTAATTCAGAATGGCCTCTTGGCAGGAAAGAAAAAACGTCTAAAAAAATCGCATAAAAATATCTCTCTAAAGATGAAAATATTGATTTTGTAAAATTTTCTCATATTTTTTCAATTTTGTCATATTTTTGGCATATTTTCATTTTGAATTAAACATTTGGTAATATTTCTACAGCTAACAAAACTAAGTAGTTATGACATCAGAATATCATATACAGATCGCATTTATGGCCCGATCCTTACGAAATTTTGCATGGGGATAAGATGAGGGCCAGAATAGAAGCCTACTCTTTTTGGAGATGATCGCCATATATTTAGGGGTTGAAATGGACCAAAAAACTGCAAAATTGTCGGCAGGCCGTAATTACCGCCCGATCATCACGCACATTTGAAAGGGGGACATTGCGAAAGCCAAGCAGTTTTGGATGGCCATCCAAAAATATTCAATGTGTGAAATAGTTTGCCAACTTT